GTACGAGTACTTCCACACGTTGCCGTCTCTTTTCCATCATGTCATGTGATACAGGTCATGTCTACAGCGGCACCTCAATGGGAGCATGTGGGGTTTCCAAGACGTCAAAGGATGGTACTGCCCGGATGTCGGCATTACATGCATAAAACAAGGACTGATCGGCCCAGAGTCACTATGCTGTATCCGTCTTAAACTGCGGCATGGTATCTTAGTGGGCTAGCACTATGTCCGGTCTCGTACAATCAGCCACACACTCATACATGGTCGTCGCTATATAGGTGCAATAAGTTTGAACGCGACGTTAAACCTCATTTCATCGCCTTTTAAAAACGAACAATGGAGACAGATATATATACTTTGTAACTAATAATATCTGATTCATGCACTATTTTATCTTTCGAACAATGTGTCTTGTAATCACACTTATCCCAAAGAAAGACAAGTAGTGTGTAGATTCATCAGTTAAGATAAGTTCCTTCAACTTTGATTGGTTTTTAGCGTGTCACTATTTTTACATAGTGTATAACATATCAATAATTTCTAACTGAAAGGTCATATTTGACCCATGAGAAACACTTTTAAAGCATTTAAATCATGTCACAAACATTGTTTAAAAGGTTTCACATTAAAGGACAAGTCCGTTTGAAATACGGTGAACTATGAAACGAAAAAGTTGTATTTAGGTACATATAATACTATTCTCTCTATATATAAACACTTTCCATGATACATCTGTGAGATTTTACATGTTTTTAACTGCCCGGGCCAAGTCGGGGCGGAGCGGGGCGGAGCGGGGCGGTCGGGTAGCCTAGTGGGTAAAGCGTTTGCTCGTCACGCCGAAGACCCAGGTTCGATTCACGACATGGGTACAATGTTTGAAGCCCATTTCTGGAGTCCCCCGTCGTGATATTGCTTGAATAAACGTCGTAAAACCATACTCACTCACTCACCAAGTCGGAGCGAACACAAGTCAAACATATCTGATGATTTCGTCCAACCAAACGGTTCTGATACAGATTAAAATGGTGGAAATATAATTCACGGTAAAATAACTTTATTATATTGTTGGATATACAATTTCACTCAAGCTCAATTCCTTGAGTTAAACTGTACTTCCTAAATGTCCGAAAACGTTTGTAAAAATGCATTCATACTGCATTTTCGTACCGTGCATTGATTGTCATCTATACCTAATTGTATAAATATATATCCCTGTCATAGTGTATTACAGGAGAGAGAGAGAGACCAGCATTTACGTTTCTTATAAGTAAGGTTATATTTGCTGAACAGAGACGCTACGGACAGAAACGTGATCAAGATCTGAACAGACGTACCACTTCATGTTACCACAATTAGAAAGCTCGGAAGAAGTACAGAACTTTGTCATGATAACATTGAGATAGATGTATCATAAGAAAGCCGAATTTGTTTCAGTTGTAGGCTATGAGTATCTACATAAACACAAAATGAATACTTGTATTAATTGCTTTTCCGTTTCTGGAGGTTTTGTCCCTCCTGTTAGTTTCTGTCCCTGCTGTTACCATACTGTCCCTCCTGTTACCCATTTCAAACGTTAAAAGTAAATTGAATTAATTCAACAAGGTGCGCTGTACTTGTGGCATACTACCAACAGGGTCCTGCATCATATTTGTAATAATAAAGTCTAAATAATTGGTGAAGAGTGTATGAAAAATGATACTTAAAATATCAAAGGTGGACTATACTATGCATATGTTACAATGACAATGACTGTTGTGTATATTTTGATAATGTTATAAATCACAGTATAGATAATCTTATCCATTTTAGTAAACTTATTCAATTGTACCTCAGTAACAGGAGGGACATTTGACATGCAGTTACCTTTTGTCAATTTTCATACGTGAAGAAACAATCATTAAGATGTGAATTTCATGTTTTGTATTCTGAAAAGGTCATGCGTTAATGACAAAAACAAATTTTTTTAACACAAACGAGTTTTGTCATTTTTGCCGTGTAGAAAATCTGACATTTTCTTAGAATTACTAATAATGTACCATAGTACAATCTAGTATATACACTTGTACATTCCCGAGTACATATTCGTGGACATATATACACTTGTACGTACATATACTTCTACATACCCATGTACATATATACTCTTGTACATGTGTACCTTTGTACATCTATACCCATGGACATAAATACCCTTGTACATATCTACCGTTGTATATCATCTTGTGCATTATATCCCTCTGGATGCCGAGGTTTTTTTTCTGACGAACGTTTTCCAAAGATCTGAAAAGTGAAGGTTGTGCGAGAATAGCGCTCACGCGGCACTGGATCTACCTCTGGCTATAAAACTACGCAGAGGTGGAGAATATTAAATTTCCTATTTGATGGTGTAAATTTAACTGCAAATATTAAACCGGTTTTAAAAAAAGACACTTCCAAGTGTTGTCCGAGAATGTATTCTGCGTTGAAAAACAGTAAATTTCTCCGCTTTTTATCGTACACCGATTAAAGTACTGTGCGACGATTTTTTTTATGAAGAAGCCTAACGGAAACTGTTTAAAATACTGCCTAATATCTGAACGACATAACTATATATCAAATGGAGTTATATGCGTATGTATAACGACAAACATTCAATTCCAAAAATAGCATGCCGTAAATGACGAAAACTGATTTTTCTCTATGACGTCAAAAGGCGACAGAGAGGTTACACACGTACAAAGAAAAGGGGGCATAACTCCGCTAAGCTTAGCACTAGTTTATTGTAACTCTGGTCACTTGGTGAGAATTAGCTGTGGGTAAGGATAATATATTTTCGTGGTGTTTTGTTCAGGAGGAACCAATCTATTCCAACACAAATATCGATAAAGAAACTGCAAAATCACGCCCAACGACAACGGTATTTGTCAGAATTTCTGACTATTTCCGTTGGTTTCAATAAAAAATATAACAACAAATAACAGTACATAGATTGTCAGAATGTTTCTGATTACTTACATGTTTTGGATATTTGTCAATGTTCAAAATGACATCATACGTACATATAGGCCACAACATGTATGAACGAACCTTTGATAACCTGTTTGTTTGAACATTGTTTACATAAGAATGTATAGGTTTATAGTGCCAAATACGATATTTTTTTCCTTTTGTTTGTTTTGTTGTTTTCTTTGGACAATTGTTACAAGATAAGTGTAAATGTAACTGCAGCATGTACGTATTTCTTGATATGTGTAAAAGTTAATATTATAAGTTCATATAACCAATGTCCATGAATAGACGTTTCATTTTATAACTAAAAACTGAATATATTACTTTAACAAAATGGATAATATGTTTCGTTAAAATATATGCACACATTTCTTAATTGAATTGTTTTTTATGTCGTTTGATATACACAACATTGATGTCTAACGATTCGCCAGGTGCGCGTTTGTCACAAACAGTTTACGAATTATTCCTCTCGTTTTGCATTATATAATCAATGGGTTCATTCTTTTTTTTCAATATTTTGATCACAGGATATTAAACTGTTTACTTTATTTCTCCAGGAATTGTAAAAAGTATAAAAAATAAAACCCATGCCAGGTACCCCGTTGGTTCAACCTTATACGATTATCCTAATAACTCAATACCAATAGGGCTTTCTTCGCATCTTTTATTGTGTAATTCTGAGACGAGATGAAGAGAAATAATAACATTATAATGAACAAATATATGTCCAATATTGAATATAATTTTGTTTGTTTTGAAATATTCTTTTGGGTATTTCATTACGTAAATTGGTGAAAGCAGTCATTTTACGTTGTGTCGAAAAAGCGTCAAATTCCGTTTTAAACATCGAGATCTTTCATACCATGAACGGAAATTAGGGGAGATATATATTAATCAAAATATCAGTGTCGTCTTTCTCCGACGTTATCAAAGACATAAAACCAGCCATGACGTCAAAAGGAATGGTGTTATTTTTGGGGTATTTCATTACATTTGATGATAAGGCTAGTGCTCCATTAATAATGGTGCAACATTAGTCAAATTACACTTACACAATCAGGAGAATGTTGGAATCTAAGGACTAAGTTATAGGTTAGATAGGGCCATCCATTTTTCTATTACCTCTTTTTTATGAAGTACGATTTCATCATTTCTTATGGGTTTTTTTTTAATAACTAAACGTATACAGTTTCAATATGGATATTTGTTTTGGAATAGTTTGGTTCCTCGTGAACAAAACACCACGAAAAAAATTGTCCTTACCCACAGCTAATTCTCACCAAGTGACCTGAGTTACAATAAACTAGTGCTAAGCATAGCGGAGTTATGCCCCCTTTTCTTTGTACGGGTGTAACCTCTCTGTCGCCTTTTGACGTCATAGAGAAAAATCAGGGTTTTTTTGTCATTTACGGCATGCTATTTTTGGAATTGAATGTATGTCGTTATACATACGCATATAACCCCATTTGATATATAGTTATGTCGTTCAGATATTAGGCAGTATTTTGTTCGCTCACAGTTTCCATAAAGAAACTAAATATAAAAAATCGTCGCACAGTACTTTTATCGGTGTACGATAAAAAGCGGAGAAATTTACTGTTTTTCAACGCAGAATACATTCTCGGACAACACTTAAAAGTGTCTTTTTTCAAAACCGGTTTAATATTTGCAGTTAAATTTACACCATCAAATAGGAAATTTAATATTCTCCACCTCTGCGGAATTTTATAGCCAGAGGAAATCCAGTGCCGCGTGAGCGCAATTCTTGCACAACCTTCGATTTTCCGATCTAAGTAAAATGTGCGTCAGAAAAAAACCTCGGCATCCAGAGGGTTTACCGGAAAACATATAATAGATGTGCACAAATATACCCGGATATATAAATACCCACGGGCAGATATAACCTTGTCCCGTATATATACCCAAGTAGACATATACCAATGTACATATATATCATCCACCAATATTCCCGTCTACAGATATATATATAAAATACAAAAGTCCAAAGATGAGCTGTATAATTTACTCAACCGGTTTCACGGATGTGATTTTCAAGAGTACAGTTATGCTGTTACGTTGTTTTGACGTCACAGTGCACTCTAACATAGTATGACGTCATAGTGCAATCTAACTTTGTGACGTCACAATAAGACAGGCGTAGGGCGATAGGGTAAATAAGTATTGTAGTGGCAGTAAAATGTACAGTAATTGTATAAAATAATTCAATTATTTCAGGCCATTTAATTTTGGTTTGAAAGTATTAATACAATAACTTTCTTTTATCTTTCTCAGTGCATCATTGTCACATTTGTAAAACGGGCATATCACAAGCAAAACAAAAAAATTATTCCAGGCACATTGATCAATGTGTTGACTGAGTGGGATACACCGGCAAGAGGGGTCCCGTATTTGTTGTCGGTGGACCCTCACTCTCGCTCTTAGGGTGTCCCCTGTCTGTCCAATGTATTTGGCTTAGCATCCAGCACCTTGTATGACATAAACCAAGTTTTTCGAAGCACAGTTCATATTTTCACGGACATAGAAAGTTTTAAAAGAATGTAAAAGAACAACATTGTAAAACATGAGGGCAAGTGCCACAATTAGGTCTGATACACTTTTTGTACTGTTTTACATTCTTGTTTTCCTTTTTAGAAAGAAGCCCTAGTAAGAATCGGTTTCATAATTTGGCTCTGTCTTTTACTTTAAAAGCTTACTTTGTGACATTTTTTGTTTGTTTTAGTCCTTTACATTTATGTAAAGAATACAGTGTCTCCCGAACACTTCCAAATATTTCCGGGTTTGGGGGATTAAAGGTTGTAAACAAAAGGGAGAACACTCTCGTTAGTTTTATCTTTAGGTTTTAAAAGATCACAACGGTTTTGTGATTTAGCCTTGTTTATTGCGTCTTTTACAATTTTTCTAGGGTAGTTTCTTTCTAATAGTGACTCCCTCGGTTCATCGAGTCTATATTGTGCACGATCTGAATTAGATACTATAGCGCAGATTCTACGTGCTAACGAGTAAGGGACACTGTTTTTAGTATGACGGGGGTGACAGAAATTGTAATTGAGGTATTGTTTGTAATCGATTGGTTTGCAATATGCATCTGTTTTAATATTATTGTTTGAAATTATAACCATAACATCTAGAAACGATTGATTGTTATCATCATTTGTTCTCATCTCTAAAGATAAAGATAAAACTTGGATGGAGTGTCTGTTAAAAATATCAAACACTGTAGATCGTCTCCATTCCGGTTCATCTAAAAATCTGTTCCATTTATCTAGGAATCCCTGTCCAATTTGAATGCCTAATTTTTTATCAATTTTTAGTACAGTTTTTCCTCCAAATAACCAAGTACAAGAGTTGCATAAGAAGGGCCATTTTTGTACCAATTGCTGTGCCTTTAACTTGTTTGTAATGAGAACCATCAAATTAAAATTATTATTGTTGAGAATTAACTTAGTACTATGGATAAGGAATTCAGAGGTAATTTCTTCTCGGATCCCCGAACAGTGCTTATTTATCTAGTATTCAATAGCTTCTATGCCGAGATCATGGGGAATGTTTGAATATAAACTAACTACATCAAAACTGACTAACTTTGTACCATTTTCGACTGAGGCGGGAAGTTGGTTCAGAAAATCAGTGGTATCTTTTATGTAGCTCTTGACATGTTTAGTTATGGGTTTTAACACTTTATCCATAAGGTCACTGATTCTGTGTGTGGGACATTTGGGTCCCGCAATTATTATCCGTAATTTTAAATAATTTACGGGGGATATTTTGACATAAGCAGAATTCAATGCTCGTCATTATTCTTGGATCTGTAAGCTCTTATGAACTTTAGGGGGCCTTAAAAATAACTTTCTTACGATTCAAAATTAAATAAATAATCCTCTTCGTTTTTAGTCAGGCATTGAGAATGTGAATATACTAATCTTTTAAGATTAAGTAATACTGATTTCTCCGAACTGTCTGAAAGATTTCTGTAACGAGATTCATCTTTTAAAATATCTAATGAGAGTTCTTGGTAATAATTACTGTCCATCATACATTCGAGTACATATACGCAGAAACACATGACTGATTCTGAGAGAATATTATATCAATGAGAAGTACAAAAGATAAACACAGTGCAGTGTGCGGTGCAGATATAAAGATATACAGGACAGCAAATATATAACAGATACGCCTAGTTCAGTGTAATTTGAAGCTCTCCTCTGCGCTGTATCATCGAGCATCCCCCATACTAATGTGCAGTAGCAAGACGACAGTGTGAGGGTGGTCGGGGACAGAGAGCGCCCATACACGGGTTAGATCTTGTTGTGAGACTGTTTTATCGGTTGACACTTCACCTCCTTTTGTGCCTCTGTCTCCTTGCTTTCATCCCTAATCTTCGCGGGACATAAATGTCCCGGTGGACATGCACATTTGAATTTCACCTCTTTTACTATGTCCGTCTTTTTGTTTAGATCCATAAATATCGTTGCGCACACACCACCGTTCTCCTTGCACTCAGGCTGAAATGTCAAAATATCAAATGATGTGGTATTTGGTGTAGTGAAGGATAAATTACTATATAATACTAAAGATTCACAGTGATTTTCCTGAACATTCACATTTCTGTCACATTTCCCACAATTTGAAAATATATCTTAATCAAGCATTTGCACTCCATTCTGGCAATAATGTCTCCGTCAATATGTCACAGTGGTATCAATATTTACATGAATAGAATTTCGGATGCCATGGGCCAGTGGGGCTTTACGACAGACATTGTTACACCAGATATCACTTCTGAGTGTAATCGTTTGTGGGATAAATGATGAACGATACCACTTAATTTCTGGAGTGCGAAAAAAAAAGGTTAAGCTTTACAAATGGTAAAAATAAAAAACTAATCTGAGTAAACTGCTTAAAGCACATGTTTCATTACATTCAATTATAGCCACCAGAGGCTTCTCCACTTCACAGATATAACATTCACACAATACATTTCTCACAAATGAACATTCGAACTCTCCTCACTCTCGCAGATCAACATGCATAGTTTTCTTTTCACAAAACATTCGATGAACTATCATCGACAAACTATCATACACCTATTACTCTCACAGATCAACATTTAGACAATTGTACACACCCAGAGAACAACATTCACGCACTTTTTGCTCTCAGAACAACATTCCCACACTTTCTACTCTGGCAGAACATTCACAAAATTGTACACACACAGAACAACATTCCCACACTTTCTACTTTCACGGAACATTCACAAAATTGTACAGACACAGAACAACATTCCCACACTTTCTACTCTCACAGAACATTCACAAAATTGTACAGACACAGAACAACATTCCCACACTTTCTACTCTCACGGAACATTCACAAAATTGTACAGACACAGAACAACATTCCCACACTTTCTACTCTCACAGAACATTCACAAAATTGTACACACACAGAACAACATTCCCACACTTTCTACTCTCACAGAACATTCACAAAATTGTACACACACAGAACAACATTCCCACACTTTCTACTCTCACGGAACATTCACAAAATTGTACAGACACAGAACAACATTCCCACACTTTCTACTCTCACAGAACATTCACAAAATTGTACAGACACAGAACAACATTCCCACACTTTCTACTCTCACAGAACATTCACAAAATTGTACAGACACATAACAACATTCCGAAGCCTTCTGCTCTCAAAGAACACCATTCACACAATTGTACAGACACACACAGAGAACAACATTAACGCACCTTTCACTCTCACAGAACAAGATCCACACGCTTTCTACTCTCTCGGAACAACATTCACACATTTTTACACTAAACTAATATCATCCACACACTTGGCATTATCACAAAATAACATTCACTCTCTCCTTTCATATCATAGTCCATTATTCACTCCTTTTCATATCTCTTTGTTTGAAAGGTCCCACAGACTCAGCAATATACTGTGCGATTCTATAAGCGACCATAGTGAGAGCAAAATACTGGGATATTCTACAAGGTCCCACAGCCTCAGCTACATACTATGATATTCTACAATGTCCTATAGGATCAGCAGTAATTTCAAAATTTAGGATTTTACAAGGCCCCAGCGACTAGGTAATTTACTGTGAGATGTTTCAAGGTCCATTAGACTCAACAATATACTGTGATACGCTGCAAGGTACATCAGACTCAGCAATATACTGTGAGATACTGCAAGGTCCCTTAGACTCAGCAATATACTGTGAGATACTGCAAGGTCTATTAGACTCAGAAATATACTGTGAGATGATGCAAGGTCCATTAGACTCAGCAATATACTGTGAAATACTGCAAGGTCTATTAGACTCAGCAATATACTGTGAGATACTGCAAGGTCTATTAGACTCAGAAATATACTGTGAGATACTGCAAGGTCTATTAGACTAAGCAATATACTGTGAGATACTGCAAGGTCTATTAGACTCAGCAATATACTGTGAGATACTGCAAGGTCTATTAGACTCAGCAATATACTGTGAGATACTGCAAGGTCTATTAGACTCAGCAATATACTGTCAGATACTGCAAGGTCTATTAGACTCAGCAATATACTGTGATATACTGCAAGGTCTGTTAGACTTAGCAATATTCTGTGAGATACTGCAAGGTCTATTAGACTCAGCAATATACTGTGAGATGATACAAGGGCCATTAGACTCAGCAATATACTGTGAGATGATGCAACGTCTGAAAGACTCGTATTGGGACAAAGATAATTTCTAGCATTTTGCAACAAGGTTTCACTTCGAACAAATTGCAACAGAATTTATTTCCCCACAATGCATTTCTACAAGGTCCCATACTAAAAGTCCCAAGTTTTAGTTTGGGAACTATGTCTAATTTGCATAATCAAATATGACCACCAATTATCAATATATCTTCCATGTTTCAGATGAGGTTCAATCTTTTGATGAAAAAATGCATGTGTTGTGTTTCGAAATAGCCATATTGTGTTTCTAAAATTTATTCACAATTACTGAACGTTTTCGACTTTTGATAAATATACAAAAAATCAAGATGGCCGCCAATTTCAAGATTGCCGACAAGTTTCCTTAATATAGGTTTGACTCCGGAATCTGTTAACTCTAAAACAGTATGATAGGACTTATATGCATAATTATTACTTGGCACACTAACTCACTGAAGTATAGTTTACACTTTACACAACTCCGTCACCATTGCCTCCTTGTGGCCAAAATTCGATGATGGCCGCTAAACTAATGCTGGATAGACATGGAATATCAATGCACTGTTGGTCTCTGCTGTCATATTTCAGTAATTTGAACTTCTACATCAAGGTAAACAGACCGAAGGATGCATGTAGAATACTCAATCATTTGCATAAATCCAATTTCACCACCAAACATCAATATTTATCTCGTAAATGACATGTTTAAGCGAGTTTAAATATCAATATTGATTATTATTGCCTGTATCTACTTATTACCATGACAATAAACACTGTAACAAGTTTTGTTTTCATTCATGTTGGAAACAAGTATGTTCTCTCAGAATTTACGAAAAACCAGTTGTTTCACAAGTAGTTGGTTAGTAATTTCCTTGTAGTTCATTTGTGGAAGTCCAATATAACTACCAAATACCAATATTTGAAGATAAATCCGAAAATGTGTGATCCACTGCCCATTCAGTTACATGACTGTGTGATTTATGAACATTATTACTTGAAGAATAGTAGCAAAGTTGTCACAGTGAATGCTGTAGCTTGATGTTGCAGGACCATTATACCTCGAAAGTCTCCACTGGTTTGTCATCATCAGCTTGTATCGTGGCATTCGCCGCACACAACACTAATATAAGACCATGTTTCCGGCAAGTGCTTCTTCTTCTTTTACAGTCTCATTTGTAATTACAACAGATGATATCCGGGAGTGCTGAAGGTGCTGCAGACTGATTTGTCTGTATTGGTAAGGAACGTCCATCTATCATGTGCCATCCTCAACCCAATGGATTCATACTGAACCCTTTCCACTGAATTTTCTGGTTGTAGGCACGGGGGCTGTGGCATCTTGTGGCTACAGAGGTTGGTGGCAGGTTCTTCGTCACTTCTAACAAGATCACTTGTACCTTAAGCTATCCGGTCCTTCCGCCTTACATCCGCCATATAAATACCCAAGTGATTGTTCGCCTGTTTTGCATGTACAGAATTGCACCCAGGTCTATCCAGTTTGTCTCCCAGATTGGCAATGAAGTGTTGTTTGTTGTTTGCATTGTTCCAGAATGCTTCCTTCTTCGATCGAATGACCATTCCCCCGTTAAATCAACTGTCACACCAGTATAGTACAAGATCTATCTACAAGCACTGTTCATGTATGAACTCTGTAGTCACCCACCATCATTGTTTATATCCTCCTCCCTTGCACTGCAGGTCAGTAAGGCAACACTTACTGATGCTAGCTGGAACACCATCCAAGTGAAAGAACGAGAACCTTGAAATGTCCAGAACATTATTGATGGTAGTGCTCTACTTCACCCTGACCAAGAGGTTCTACGTTTTATCACGTATGTTAACTATAGACCATCGATATGTTGTACATAAATATGCTGCTGGTAACATTGTCTTTAGTGGCTCCAATGATGATCCATCAACGAAAGATGCTACACAGAGGTCTGTTCTGGGGAGAAAGATGAGTTCACGGGGGAAATTGATATTTAATCGTAGAAGGAAGAACTCTTGAACAAAGCAAAAAACAAACAGCGCTTTGTTGCCGGTCTGGGTGACAAACTGGAGAGAGCTTGGTTCAGCACAGTCCATGCAAAATAAGACGCTGTCACACTGTCCTGGTGGGAGATGACACAGATTTGCTCATCCTCCTTCTTCACCATGTTAAAATGGAAGCACTTGACTTGTTCCTGGCACCAGAACCCAAGCCAGCTTCAAGCAGGAACACGTTTTGGTAAATGAAGCAATCAACGCTACTGCTGGGCAGTGATGTATGTAAGCATATGCTCTTTTTACATACAATTCTTGGCTGTGAAACCACTCCTCGACTGTTTGTCTTGGGAAAGGGTCTAGCATTGAAGAATAATGCCTTGTTCTGTGATCAGGCTAAAATGTTCAGCAAAACAGAAGAAACTGGGGATGAAAAAGTCATCACCGAAGCGGGTAAACATGCTCTAGTGTCTTTATATGGCTGATGTAAGAAGGAAGGACTGAAAAGCATATGATACAAGCGATTTTGGGGGAAGATGATGAAGAACATATTACTTAGTAGAGACACAAACTCTACCATCATCCTCTGCAGCCGCAAGATACCACAGACCCCGTGTCTATTACCAGATAATAATAATAATCTTGGGACCTTATAGAAATGCATTGTGGTGAATACATTCTGTTGCAATGTGTTCCAAGTTAAGTGAAAAAATGGCCTAGATTGCCTGGACTATAGTCCACATTAAACACACCAGCTTCTACAAACAAAAGGATCAACAAAAGTCATGTCCCTGTCATGGATTTTCCGGCCGCTTCACCGTCTCAAATGTGACAATTTAGAGCCAACACCAGTGAGAAATCAGATACAGGTCAACCATACACAAATCATTTTATTCTGCTATTATGTTATCCCTTTTTTAGTCTGGTATTAGGGTTATCGTTTTCGGTTTTGGGTATTCTCTGCTTGGACTGACCTTATCACACTTGTACGAGTACTTCCACACGTTGCCGTCTCTTTTCCATCCTGTCATGTGATATAGGTCATGTCTACAGCGGCACCTCATTGGGAGCATGTATGGTTTCCAAGACGTCACCTCTGTCTCCACTACAGTAGACAGTTCTCCACTCTCACACTCACGCAGTTTATCTTCAGATATCAGCGATTGGCAGAACCGGTACTGGACCTTCCAGTGACCTAAATACCCAAAATTTATTTTAAACTCACATTCAAGTAAACATACATATATGTGTTGAAACGTGTTGGACGGGATATTTAGGGGACCTAAACACCTACTGTGTTTTAAATAGTATAGAGATAAACTCGCTTATTCTATTCGGCCTTCCGCATCATGTGAAAAGGTAATGTGAGTGTTGTCGTGTCACCTCTCTCGTAATGCTGCCAGGTAAGTGCTCTGTCGTCGTTGTCACTCCACGCCGACCCACAGTTGCCGTCGCTACAGGTGCAATAGGGGCCCTCGTTAGCAACATAACCATCTGGGTACTTCATCAGCGTAGTACAAACATGCCGTCGTCCCCCACAGATATCACTGCCTTTTGGTGACTGAAAATAAAGTCCACGGTCAGCGAAATGGAAACAAGCTTTGCACTGTTTACTAATGGTTCCTTTTCACCCAGCTCAAGATCGTTCCACCTTAAAGTCAGTCGTGTGTAACGAAGCGGTTATTTGACATGTCTATGACAAATTTAACTGTAGTACATATCAGAAGTATAAACATATGTTTAAGAAAGATGACATTACCGCATAATCCCCCTCTCCCCAGCAAGATATTCTACCTTGTAAGTCTTCTATACTCCATATGTCCATACCTGTGGATAGCTAGCTCAAGTTCAACACTTCAAGAACAGAATATAATCTCCCAGCCTTCATCCCCCTGAGGTTCAATTTTTAAGTTGAGAACCCCCTTTCTAACACAGACAACCTCATGCAGGGAGTTATGTGATAAAGTAACCACAGTAATCACATGTCGTTATTGGCGAGTGAAATTATGTTGATGAATATCGCCGTTATAACAACGCCTCATATCCGACTTCGGCGGACCAAACAACATCTTCACACCCAAACTTCAAAGCCCCAAAATAGACACAACAGTCTCCTCAAAAATACATTAAGCAACTGATCTAAACACCGCCAAAACCACCACACTAGAATAGATACGTGAAAAATGCCACTTTTACACAGACGGGTCCTCTAAAGCTGGCTCAAAACACACAGGATTCGGCATCCACATTTCCCAACCCACAAAATAAACTAAATCTTGTAGACCCAAAAACAAGCAATCAATCTTCACGGCCGAGCTAATGGGGATGGCTACAGCCTTACACAACCCCAAAATTAAAAAACAAAACAAAACCACAACTAATTTTAACTGTCTCGTTAAGTGGACTACCTTCTATTAAAAGCAAAACCACAAAAAACTCGCCCTAATACACCAAATACTGAAAAGTTCCAACCAGCTCAATAAACTAGGCAAAATATAGAATTGTATCCCTGCCCACGGTGGAGTGTTCGGAAATGAACACGCTGACAAAGCAGCCAAAGCAGCCCTTAAACAACCAGGAGTAAGCCTTAACTTATCAATGTCCAAAAACGATATATAGAGCATCACGAAGGGATTTTATCTCCAAAAGTGGCAAAATAACTATCAGAACTCAAACTGCAAGCTAAAACATATGCCCCAAAAGCCACTCAAAAAGGTAAAGACTCATCATAAATCCAAACATCCAACGTAATAATTAAACTACCAACAGGCCACAGTAAGTAAGTAAGTAAGTAAGTAAGACTTCGGCGGGTGGATTTTTGGAACAAGGAAACGTTGGTGCGATATTTAAAAAACACGATGCTAAAAGTAGACAAAAGAGGCACGATTTGTGGATAAAATTAAAAGTAAACGTTTGGTGGTATAGGTTCACGAACAACTGTGGGATAATCCAATGTCTTTCATCACAAAATTGAGACAATTAAAGTCGCCTTTCATAGTCATGATATTTCACATTCGCCATTATAGAATAGTGATAGAATCATATCAACAGATTTTCGACATCGTCGTGTTCTTTGACATCAAAACAACTGGGACGAAAATCAAATTGGTTTGTGCATTGTCCATGTTGCGACACTGCATTTGCAAGCATGTTAGAACAATGTCTGCACAGTGTCCAACAACCTGCAATGATCTTATGATGAATACATTACTCACCTCCTCCTCTTCATCACATCTTACTGTTGTAAGTAGCAGCATGGCGGCCAAATGCAGAAGCCACAACATGTCCGTTTTCGTTTCCATCTTGCCACAAGCACCCAGTTGATCCGGTCAATTTATGCAAAATGTGAATCTCAAAGCTGCGACGAGAACTGAGTGTGAAATTATTGCAGAGCTGAGGAAAATCAATACATGTGCGAAGGACCTTCTGTGAGAATGACTTCAGTGAACATTCCTCGCCGATGCGTTCCTGTGGAGAACATCGATATCCACCATTCCTTCTGCTCGCAACTCAACGTGTTAGCATGCAAGCAGGGGACACATTTATTTCTGACAGCCCAAGTAACATCAAACCAAACACAAGAATAGAAGCGACCAGTCAGAAGACATTATCTCTGACAAATGCACTGCGGGTGTTATGATCCTTGAAATATCGGCACGTCCCTTTGTTCTCATTAAATATTAAAATGTTAGAGAGATTGTAGCACCAGTTACATGCGCAGTGCCAGACGAGAGAGCCAGTGTGAGAGGACCAGTCGAATACATCAACAAACATCGATCCCCTTACACATATGCCATGGTTTTGGTTGTGAACTGCTGTCAAATAATCATCACTAGATCCATGCGATGATTGGCAGTTATAATATGCTTCTTATCTTTTTTTACACAAACTGCCCTGAACCCCTGAAGATGTGTAACTGTATCTATGGTCACCACGTTATGTTACAAAAGCCCCGCGGATCAAGGGAAGTTTTTCCTTAAGTTTGTCATGTGGAATAGTGGTGTACGAAGTTGGATATTGGTAATATATAGTTTCAATTTGGGAATCGACCCGTTACAATTTACGCGAAAGGAGATTATAGTTTTAGAAGGAATATATGGGCGTGAAAAGAGATTATACTGTCAGAACGAAGTGATGAATGGAGATTATACCGTTAGAATGAAGCGATGTACGTGAAAGGAGATTCTTCTGTTGGAACGAAGAGGTGAATAGAGATTGAACTGTTGGTATGGAGATGTGTTCGTGAAAGAGATTATACTGTAAGAGCGGTGTGATGTACGCGAAAGGAGATTCTTCTGTTAGAATGAAGAGATTCATGTGAAAGGATAATTTACTGTCAGAACGAAGAGATGCACGTGAAAAGAGATTTTACTCAGTCTGTTAGAATGAAGAGATGCATGTGAAAGGAGAATATACTGTCAGGACGAAGAGATGCACGTGAAAAGAGATTTTGCTCAGTCTGTTAGAATGAAGAGATGCATGTGAAAGGAGAATATACTGTCAGAACGAAGAGATGCACGTGAAAAGAGATTTTACTCAGTCTGTTAGAATGAAGAGATGCATGTGAAAGGAGAATATACTGTCAGAACGAAGAGATGCACGTGAAAAGATATTTTACTCAGTCTGTTAGAATGAAGAGATGCATGTGAAAGGGGATTATACTGTCAGGACGAAGAGACGCACGTAAAAAGAGATTTTGCTCAGTCTGTTAGAATGAAGAGATGTACGTGAAAGAATGTTATACTGTAAGAACGAAGAGGAGAACGTGGAAGGATATCATACTGTTAGAATGAAGAGGTGTACGTGAATGGATGTTATACTGTAAGAATGAAAGGAATAATGTTGTTTTCTGTATTTCGCTCTGCGTGACAGTGTGTATAACACAGGCATTCAGTGCCTTGGCATATCTGTTATATGTGAGTGTACAGTCAGATACATTCATATGATAATCCTCCTGTACAAACATCGGTGCGTTTGACATAAATATGAGGACTTTGGCACACGACCAAGGTACGCGCTCTTAACATAGATATGAACACATTCAGGAGTATTAATTGATTTAATCATGTTATTTTCATACACACATAGATGTAGACGTGAGACGTATTTTTTTTCTTTCGTTGTTTAACGCAATATTCTAGCTATATGACGGCTGTCTAAATAACCGAGTCTGGACCAGATAATCCAGTGATTGAGATCATGAGCATCGATCTACGTAATTGAGATACAATGACATCCATCAACCAAGTCACCGAGTGTGACCACCCGACCCCATGTAGACATTGTTTTTATTCAAATATACCTGTAGAAGAACTTGACAAGCTTGTTTGATTTGTGCATTGACATTGACGTTGATATGAACTTGACAAGGATATGCTACAATTTATACACGATGTCTATGTTTAACGCATATACGACAATTGGGTTTGAACACACATACATATATTGATGCACTTAGTATGTAGCTGACAGGAGTATGAAGTTTGTGTTTTCATGCACAACGATAGGAGTGAGTATGGTATTACGCCGCTTTTAGCAATACTCCAGCAATATCACGGCGGGGGACACCAGAAATGGGCTTCACACATTGTACCCATGTCGGGAATCGAACCCGGGTCTTCGGCGTGACGAGCGAACGCTTTAACCACTAGGCTACCCGACCGCCCCCACAACGATAGGACGCACTTGAACTGTTGAACTACAAGGAACTGTTTTGCTCTTAATGCCTGCCAACAGGTTGAATAAATCCATAACGAATGAGTTATTGTCATAAACTAGATTTACACTTACATCATTCAATAAAAAAAGTTAAATGTAGGTAAATATAATTCAAACGAAGAGTGAAAATGCTAAAGAATACAGTGGCGCCCGAACACACCATTATTGATTCCTATCTTGCATCGGCTCAGTATTCTCCACTTAAGGACCCGCCTGTAACAGCTTCGACCTCGTGCTATTTAAGAAAATCAATAAACTGCAGTAGTTTCACTTTTCGAGACAGCTCTTGACATAAAGGCGATGCGAATGCCTCGAACAGTAACAGTGACTTCAGTGATATGTTTAATCAAATATCAAAATATTTATATCAAATGCATTCTTGGCCGTGTACGTTATATTTGTGCTGCAAGGAATGCAATGATGAAATATTATCTTATTATCTCACATAAGAATGGAGCAAGAAAAGACGCACTCAAGCTCACACAGAAAGTATATGATCAGCTCCATGAACTGTTGAACGTTTAAGAACTAACTGTATAACAACAAAATAATGGTTTTACAGAGAAACAAGGTCGATTTGGTCAGTATTTCAGTTATATCACCGTGTCTGCTTAATGTGGGAGGAATGCCTAAAGGGTGGTATCAGACGTTTACATTTGAAACTCACGGGCGAGGGCGTGGTACTAACAAACCAATAGTCATGATCAGGGCTAATCTGGGATTCGAACCCATGATGGTAGGACTCTGCACAAGTAACTGCGGTGTCTTGGGCGACTGGGCCACTCGCACCTTAGTATGTACGTTATAATGTAAGCTAATACATTATAAATAAGAAGCTTTGAAATATTATTCCTAAGGGGACATCCCATTTGTCCCCATACCTTTAAATCAGAAATGTCACGGTTGAGTTCTGCCAATGTCAAATGCCTGTTAACCACGTGGGGAAATGTATTAGGCCTGATCATACCCCATTTGTCAGACATGAGACTATGAGACTAAAACATGCTCTTATTTTATATGAAATTCTTTACTTCTGAGTTTCCACACTATCAACAGGATACACTAAATCATAAAACACATTTTTTTCAGATTGATTCTGCTTTTCATTTTCTTTGTTATTAGTGTACACACATTTCTTAACAGAACTAATTCTTCACACTTTTATAAATCAGTACAAATAAATTTATTCACTCAATTTGTGATGAAAGCTTGCGTCTAACTTTTGTTAGACTCACCCAATCTTGTTCTTGCTGTACAGGTAATGTTGAAAGTGTACCTGGGGCGTACCTCTCTTCGATGTAACAAAGTCAACTTTTTGCAAACCAGCCATGTTTTTGACAAAATCAAATATTCTGACAATATATGCACAATTAGTCATATATAAAAAAATTGAAAAAACTCTGTATTCTCGTAAGAACCTGAGTTGAGAACTTTTAACATCAGTGAACATATCATTATGCATTGTTGACACTTAAATATAATTTTGTTTCACTATTTCACACTTTTTCGTTTTGTTGTTTTCCTGCTTTATGTTTTTGTTTTTCACGACAGCCTACGGGACGCAATCCTCGAATAAGCACCGTTCTTGTCTGTATTTCGGAAGGTACATTGACCCGCCACTTATCCGAAACAGGAATTGTTTTTGTCGAGATCTCATTCAATATTCTTTCAAATGCGCGTCTCCGCGATGTCTCGTTCTTGCGTCTAAGAATAACGACCGGGGAGTGGTAGGCTTGTGGTTCGATCCCCTGGCTACGTCACACTAAAACACGTTAAAGTATGGTTCTTCTTGTTACCCTGCTTGGCGCTCGTCATTAAGGAATTTAAAACAAGGTATACTGTTACTTATGTCTAAATTCAAACATTTCCCGCTTCGCAATTTATTCTCCCATACATAGCCAAACCCTAGTCGAAACGACAATTACTTTAAGTTGGAAACCCATTTTTGCCATTATTTGCTGCTTGTAAAGAATTGTATAGCACTTTCTGGATATTTTACATTTGACACGTACAATAATCTAATCAAGAATTATATCAAACGTTTTAATGCAAAAATATACAAGGGGTATCTGCCACATTCACCCAATGTGTAATTTGGTGCCGAGATCTTCACTCCAAGGAAGCGTTTTTACACGCTAACACGTGAATGGTTTATATATTTCCTACACTATCCAACCCCAAAACCTCAGACCAAAACACTTCATTGGGCATATTTTTTTGTAATTATCCTCCAAAATAATTCATACGGAATTGGATTTAAATCTATGTAGTTTCCTTAATTCGCCCCACGAACATATTCTAGCATGAGACGCCGCACCTTGAGTATGCTTATCCCAGGGTAATGATTTACTAACTTTTATACCCAAATATTTATAAAATGTCAGGGACTTGAGTCATTTCCCTTGATAATGTTTTTTTCACTTCTGGGGAGAATACTCCCATTCTTAGAAACAACTGCAACCACTTTAGTCTTATCCAAATTAAACGGAAAAAATAAAGGGTTTTTAAGCCCATGGGCTAAAATTAAATTTTTAACTTGAGTGATCTCCATTTCCGGATATTCCTCAACACGTGTTGTGGTAGGCCTATATATGGCTAATTTGCACCAATTTTGCACCTTAAGCGCTGTTAGAGGTTTCCACATATACAAGACGCATTAGACCCCTAACGTAGGTGACATTCTTGTAACTAAGTGTGACAGTTTAAACGCATATGACAGACACGCCGCGTCGGTACTGCATAATAACGTCATTGTGGGTCACGTTCCCGTTCAACAGAGTAAATTGTGCAACTACTTTCTTCTTCGTGGAGCTGTCATTCAAGTAGAAATTCTGTCACATAAACCAACACGTTCTAATCTACTGCATGGTGGACTTGAAATTCCTGCATTGTTTATATTCATTGGCAGAGAAAAGGACATTAACAAATTGCCTAACATTTTACAGGAAATAACTGTTTAAAG